GGATGGCCCTTGGGGTCTCTTCCAACTCTAAGATTTTATGATTCTATGATCTGGCTGCAATTACATGGCCAGCATAATGCCCCATTTGTGCATTAGACGTAGCAATGGGGTGTCTACTCAAATGCAGCCCCAATGATGGAGGTAAGGGGCATGTGGGGCCACCTCATAGAATAATAGAATCCTAGAGTTGGAAGAGACCCCAAAGGCCATCCAGTCCAACCCTATTCTGCCATGCAGGAACCCACAATTAAAGTATCCCCGACAGATGGCCATCCAGCCTCTGTTTCAAGACCTCCAAGGAAGGAGACTCCACCACCCATGTTAAGGCTCCTTTGCCCCAGGATCAGGCCAGATCTGCAGGATCCATGTCTGCTCTGACCGGATTGGGCTTGATCTTGCCCCCGGGGTTTTGGTCTGCATCATCCAAAGAGCCACTACTACTACTACTACTTTGGCATCATTGTCATTGTCTTTTTTTAAGTTTTGTGCAAGATTTACCCTTCTCTGTCAGAGAGCTCTGGTACCCTCTTTGTCTGTTGTTGTGTGCCTTCAAGTCGTTCGAGACTTTTGGCGACCCTACGACGAACACATCCTGGGGTTTTCGTGGCAAGTTTCTTCCCAAGGGGTTTGCCACTGGCCTTCTTCTGAGGATGAGAGAATGTAACTTGCCACCCAGTAGGTTTACACAGCCAAGCTGGGATTGAAATCCTGTTCTTCAGAGTCATAGTCCAATGCTCAAAGTGATGGCTGTACCAAAATACAAATCCTAGGACTCCCTGGCACTGAGCTGTGGCAGTTAAACTGGTGTTAAACTGCATTGTTTCTGCCATGTAGATGCAACCCAGGTCTCTGTCCTGCATCACGTCCTCCTCCTGGACCTCTTGCACCCTGAAGATGTCCTATGGGCATCTAATACCATACTGGCCTGGGTCCACCATCCCTTCTCATGACCAGCCATGGTCAGCCTGGTGTCTCTGTCCAAAAGGAGAGGTCCACTCATCTGGAGGACCAACAAGAGCATCCTCTCCGGCTTGTTCACAACGGCAAGCCAGCAGCTGAGATTTTCCGAAAAGATAAAAATTAATGGGCCAAAGAGCTCATTTGCATTTTGTCTCTGTTTGGAAAAGGAACTAATTAATATGTTTTATTGAGCTAATTGCAGTGCCACCAGCCTTTGGAAAGAAGGAGGGAAGGGGGGGAAGTTCTCAGGAACGTTTATCCACAATGCGAGAGGGGAAAAATGTACTGCTAACATGCGTGACTAATAATGGATGTCGCTCCGTTAGAAATTAACAGCACTTTAATTAAATGAGCACGGCTGGGATACCAAAGACGAGCCATTCAGATTTAATGTCCCCCGGGCATGGATGGTTGTGGGTTCTATGGGGTGAGACACAGGTCCATAAAATATAAAGGAAAACCAATGCAGGTTACCTCTTGTCCTTTGCAGGGAATAATACGGTACTCATCGTGGAAATGGATTCAAATTGCAAGAGAAGAGATCCCATCTAAACAGCAAGAACTTTTCCTTTACTCTAAGAGCTGTCCAAAAATGCAATGGATTGCTCTGGAGGGTGGGGTGCTTTCTAATATCATAGAGCTGGAATAGACCTCA